TCTTCATCTTCCACGTATCACTAAACCATTACACTGTGATATGTGCTAAGTTCATCTTCCACGTATCACTAAACCATTACACTGTGGTATGGGCTAACTTCATCTTCCACGTATCGCTAAACCATTACACTGTGATATGTGCTAACTTTATCTTCACCTATCACTAAACCATTACACTAGTATCAACATTAGGTGGGATGCCAGTAAATACTTTAGTTTAATCCTAACACTATGTTAATATTTTTGTTTGGAGGAATATTTGAGTTGTTCTGAGACAATTTCAAACAATTAAAAATGTAGCTTAAAAGCTTCCTAAAAGTCAAGAAAAACATTCATTAACTGACCATTCTGAAACAGTGCAATTAATGTGATATTAGAGAAAAAAATTTATATTTCACTTACATAGATCAGTTATCAGCCTAATAAATTGAATATTTTTACTTATTCATGATGAAATATATGATATTTAGTTGTTAAGATTTAACAAGCTGTTCTTGAATAATATTTTTGTTTCTTGTGATTCTGACAGATGATGGTAGTTTATGTGGCTCCTTCTCCATTATTAAGTTTCTAAAAGGCAACAAGAAATATTTCAAAAGAGAAGTCCATTTCAGAGTTAAGAATAATTGCGGATGTAACCCGATACAACATACAAGAGGTAAGTTTTTGGTTTGTTTTCTTAAATATGTTATCTTTATATATATACAAGTTCTTTTCTCATCCAATTTTGCCCAAAAACATTGTTAGGATTTTTTTAATTCCCCCAAACATTACATTACCATTAAGTGTCACTAATGTATTTCCCAGTGCTATGATTATTCAGAGTTACTTTGAGCATTCTCTTTCTTACTTAGTTGATTTCAGTGAAAAAAAATATTTCCAATTAGGAAGCTGATTTATGATATGAGTTCCTGGACTATTATTTCTGGCACGAAGGCAAATCAGGTCTTTCCTGTACCACTTCTGATATATAGCATCATACCACAAAAAGGGGTGGAGGGAGAATAACTCTTAGTTGAGACTGTCAGTGATCTTATTCTTAGTAAGATGGAGACATATAATCGGTTCCACGGTGTTCCTCCGGGGGGCCCCCTGGTGGCACAGCGGTATGTCTGCGAACTTACTATGCTAAAATCCGGGTTTCGATACCCATGGTGGGCAGAGCACAGATAACCCATTGTGTAGCTTTGTGCTTAATTACAAACAAACAAACCTCCCGGGGATTCTGAGGTTGCTTTTTCCTGCACCTTCTTTTAGTCTGATGACTCCTCCATACCCCTGTGGAACAATGGTGAGTTTACAGATTTATAATGCTAAAATCCATGGTTCGATTCCCTGTATTGGGCACAACAGATAGCTCATCTTTGCTTTGTTCTAAGAAAACAAATTTTCCTAACTAAATGTTGTTATAATCAATGGTAATAAACAGTCTTTAAATGGGAAAAAATATAGATGTGACTTTGGGATAAGCTCCCTTTGATTTGTTTTCTTCAGTTGGTTCATCAAGAGTGTGATGTTTTGGGTCTTTCCCTAGTTGCTTTTGAGCCTGTACCTTACTTGATAGCTGCAAGGTCTGGGAGCAAATGTTTAGTTTTCTCTTCATCCATGGACATTGTGGTTCATTCAGGGAGGTTTACTTCTCAGTTATGTGGAAGGATAGTTATCCTTTATCCAACACAGTTGTTGGAACTTCGTTATTTCACCTACCACTACTAGGTGGAAGGACTCTCAAATAATATATCTGTTCCTCAAATTTAGGGGTTCTAAGGCAGAGTTTGAAGTTAACCTGAATAGATCAATGTCCCCTGATGGGACAGGGTAAGTCTATGGATGTACAACTCTAAATTCCAACATTTTGTTTTCCTTACAGTACACTTTTTTTGGAAGACTTACAGGATCACCAACTTCATAGATGAGCTGGAACCATAGTTAGCATGCACATTGGTGTTGGTTGTGTGCCATTGGGGTCTGTGGGGGTTCGGCTCCGTGTATTTCTGGACATGTGGTAATCTTAACCACAGATCCAGGAGCACTACAGGTTCTTGAGTTAAGATTACTCATTCAGTTCACATCTTCACCTCTATTATCCACTCAAACTGTAGGGTTTCTATCTCATGCAGATTCTCTGGACTTGAAACGTAGTTCTACGGCTATCAGTATTTGGTTGGTCTGTAGGTAGTAAGAGAGTCATGCCAGTTTTTCAGGGGTTTTATTTCCATTGGTTGTTGGACCTAAGAAGCCAGGAGATTGGTGTCCAGTCATTGATCTTTCTTGTCTATATGAAGGCCTAGATTTTCCAAGGTTCACAAATTACTCATTACTCTATCTGAGTTGACAATTTTTACTGGGATTGTGGATGCTCAAGTTTGTTGTAGTCAGCTTCTATCTGCAAATTGCCATAGTGATAACATCATCAGTCTGGGTATTTTATTTTCATCATATCTCTCAGTCAAGGTTTGCTGCCTCCCATCCAGCTCCATGCTATGGAACAGGAAGCCTGAAACTTACTCATCTCTCCTTCTCCCATTGCACGGATGGTTCTTTCTCTTCTGGGAATGTGGGCATCACCCTAATCCCTTTGGGATGAGAGCACAAGAGATGCTTTTAATGATCTTTATGAAACAAGGGATCATAAACATTGATTCACTGAATTCCCCAATTTCCTTAGTCAGGATCATTCTTCGATCTTGAGGGGTTGTTCAGTTGGGACACTACTAAGGTATGAGTTCCTCTGGTGCCACCTCATTCAGAGTTACAACCCTTCAAAAATGCCTAGTTTTTGTGATGGGGTACCTATGTGAACAGTCAGAAATTCCATGGTCTACACAGGAACAATGAGGCTTCCCTACATAATGGTCCGGGCAATTAATACCTCATGGTCTGGGCTTGTTAAGGGGAAAATTGTCAATCTTCACTCTGACAATTCTGTGGTTGTGTCTTGTGTTTCTCATTGAGGAAGCATTTGGTCCAGGGTTTCTTGTTTTTCAATTCTTGGACCTCCTTTCCCAGGACCACTCCTATCATATCATCCTACTAGCTTGCCATGTTCCACAGGTGATGACTGCGGTAGCAGATAAATTGTCTCAACCCAAATAGATTCTCCCAATAGTATAGATGCTGCATCATAAAGTTGTTTTGGATTGGGTCTCATTTTGCATCTATGATTGGTGGGCTGGCCTCTCATTGGATCACCCACCTACTAGCAATTTGGTCTCCAGTACCTCATTTTCAGGCTTTGGCAATGAATGCATTCCATCAGGACAGGATGGGATTACAACTTTAGGCCTTCCCTCCAATTCATATGTTACCCAGGGTACTTAATATGATTTGTTCCAACCAACTTTCAGGACCTGTTGAAAGCAACGGATTGGTAGCTTTACCCTGGTTTCTGCTTCTGCGGTACCTTTAAAAGTGTCTGCCTCTTCCATTTCTTCTTAGGCCATTTCTGTGGAGACTGCCATGATCTTATGTAGTAAACCCTGTTATCCAGAAGCTTATGATTCAGGCATGGAGGTTATGCAGTCTTTAGCACCGCATTGGGGTTTAATTTCTAAGATTGCCATGTATCTGTCTCAGTCTTTGCGTAGTCCCACAATGAACATTTATCAATGGAAACCACATTGGCAATGGTGTATTGAGAGGAGGTTGAACCTACTTCAACCAGAAGTAATAACCATAACTCTTTTTTTTTACCTGGCTCTTTGGCAAGGGTTTTTGCATCTTCCACAGTCGCCCTGTATAAGACACCCTGATTGCCTCCCAATCGATAATTGCATCAAAGTATTCTTTGAGTCCCCAGTATTCACTAAGATTCCTCAAGTCATTTTGGATCCTTTGTGTCGAACGACCATTCCAGTTACCTAACTGTTATATTAAGGTTACAATACATTCTCTTTCTCAACATCTGTTTGGGATCTCATTCTCATATGCCATGTATCACCTTACCTGAAGGTTTATTTTTTGTTCCAAATGCAGAGCAGTCCCATCCTGGGTCCATAGTTGAGCAAATTTGTTCCATGTTCTCCCCATAATTTCAGGAGAAAGGGGGAATTTACCTTGTCCACACAGTTGGGGAGTGAGGAAGAGTGTTCACAATTCCAACTGGGATGAGTTCTGTTTCCTCAGGTTAAGTAAGGCATACAATATCCTGTCATTCTGAGACTGGGGTATTGCCTTTCTGACTTCTTCAGTTTGAGGAGAAGGCTTGTCCACTTCAGTGTTGCTTACTTTCTTGTCATTATTCTGGTAGCTTGGAACACATCACTCTGTGGCTACAGGTTGGGATCCACTCATAAGTATATATTGCAGTCCAACTGCCCCAGCCACGAACGTTTGATATAGGAACCATAGCCTTGTAATTCCAAACCTGAGCAGTGGAACCATGGATATTTGGTTGGAACCTGGCCAATAGTGTTTATAAATCCTGTAAAGTTCAACCCATAGTACATGAATTAAGTTCTGGGTAAAGAATGTACCAGTTCTGAATGTAGCGTGGTTCCATCACTAGGGTGCCAATCTTCTATTGAGACACCCAGGATCTATACAGATGCTTTATGTATGGATAATACCCTCATTGGCCCCTCCACCTTATCAATATGGAATTCTAGCTGTAAGTGTGAGAGGAGGTATGTTTTGGAAGTTAACGTTTTCCTAAATCAAAAATTTATTTCCAATAATACATACCTCCATTCACACTCTCCCACCCCTTTCTCCCCATTAAGAACCAGTATGATAACACTGTCTGAATGAGGTACTTATATGCAGTACCAAGATAGAAGGCACATTGATGTAGGTGGAGAGTGTCATGAGATATTGCCAAGGGCAATTAAGTGGGGTATAAAAGATTGGAGCAAGTGAGAAAAAATTAGACTAATGCTTAGATAGACAGGTAAGTATTATTGGAAATACATTTTCTTTTAAGAAAACATTAACTTTAGGACAGGTAATCATTCTAAACTACCTAATGGTAAAGAAGGTTTCAGTATTTAAATCAATATTCAACAATCTAACAATTTATTTAAATTTTAGAATTTATAGTTGTTACTGATGCATGTGCATATCAATCCACATGAATTGACAGATTATTTATGGCTGAACAGAAAAAAACAAACAAAATGTGGAATATGTTATGCATGAGATTAGGAATTTTTGGGCAAATAACGATCAAAAACAGATAGAGTTGTGCCTGAATATTTGTTAATTGTGGGAGTGTTTTGTTTCATTAATAAAACTGATGTTTCTTCTGTTAAAGTCAGGTTCATGTTTTAGTACTGTGACATTCTGTTCAGAAAAACTATGGTTGTTTTTGTTCATATGTTCATGGACTTGGAAAGAGGGTTTTTGGTATTCTATTAACTTGATCTTCAAGTTATGTCCTGTGTCATCTTCGTAAAAGGCTGAGCAATTCTTACTTTATTTTGTAAATGTTTCCTGGTGGGGGTGGGTTCATTGCATAATTTTCTTAACGTGTTTAATTTTCATTCCAGTGGTGAAAATGAATCTAGGCATTATGTTAAGGTTATATTTATGTGCTATTCTTTTCCAGATTTCTGATAAATGTTTGCTAATATTTTATATACATGGGATATTGCAAGTGGTTAGGGTTCCTTTGTCCTGTGGGATGTTTTTTGAGTTTATTTATTTATTAAGTGTCTCTTA